CCCCCCCCCTACCCCCCACACACATACACACACTCACCTCTATCTATTTTGGTTACGCTTTTTTGCGACCGTAGTTGATCTCTAGAATTAAAGAGTTTGTTTCGCTTTCCTAGTTCGGCATTTCTTTTGTCTAGTTTAGTTTTGATCTCTGCTCGGTGACAGTACATCATTACCAATGCATGAATTATAGGCTACCTTATAATTTTGTAAAGTATAAAAGATACTCTGGAAAAAAAAGAATGGTAGGCTCCGATTTTGGCCATGGGAATACTGGAATAATGATAGTAACTTTGAATATGGGTTAGGGGTAGTAATGGTGTAGGGTTAAGATTTTAGTAATCGTTCGGGCTGGGGACAGACCCTCAGTCCTCATTATCATTAAAGACCAGAGAAGGCCTCTGAATTTCAGTTGCATGGAAGCATTTTAATCCTCTTAGGTGTATGTTATCAAAAGGGGTGGGGGGGGGGCGTGTCTATATCGATGCGAAGTGTACAGCTAGACTTCTTTCGCCCACTCTACTGCAATTGGCATTCAAAGCGTTATGGTCAGATTCTGCTGTGCATCTTTCTCAATCAGTTTAGCCTAGTTTTTGTGTGTGCTTTTTGATGGCTTTTATTGGCTTGTTTGTTTGGTCCTTGTGTTTGTAATTAGCAACAGTATACATTTTACTTTTACTTTTTCATCCTCTATTGCACTTAAGCGTCGAGGGGAGATGCAGTTTTCTGTGGCAGGTCTTTCAATTGGGATATATATATATATAATTTGTATTTCTCAGTGTTTCGTTGACTCCCTCTATCCGCCTTTTGCGTGGCCTTCCTCTTCCTTTATATCCGCCTGATTACTTGGTGTTATAGGCTCTCGAGGTTGGCTGGCAAAACAACAGTTGTATAAGTATTATGTTATTATACTATACACTCTTTAAAAAAAGCACCCACCCCTAAATCCCCCCCCCCAAAAAAAACCCCCAAACAAACAACAAAACAAAAACAACTAACAAACAAAGACTGTACATGTAATGAAACAAAGAGTTGACAGTTGGGCCAGTTATACCTATCCAGCTTTCAGACGTTGTCTGGAGACAGCAGGGTTTGATTGTCTCACATAGTATGTAGTTTTAATATAAAACTAAATTTAACATCGAAACTGTTCGTAGAACTGCTGTTGTCATAAAAAAACCTAAATGTAACTTTTACTCCGTTCTTAGACTTAACACTACACAATGATCACACCTAGGTTGTGAAACTGAATTAAATGTCTACTGTTCCTAGATTACACATTTTGATCATTTTAACGCTTAACATTGTTGAATTTAATTGTCTCTGTATCTGTGGGTTTTTTGGATCACTCGACCAGATCTTGTGGTTTTTATAAGTTCGTGCACTGAAGCTGGAATTTGTTGCGGTGACACCAGATCTCGAGGTGCCAACTCTTGAGGTGGGGTTGCTGGTGTAGATGCCAGCTCTTGAGGTGGGATTGCTATCTCCTCTTCCCTCAAGAATGTCGTCAAAGGGGTTGGTTGTCCTCAGGTCAATTTTATTTCCCTCCGGTGCACATCGAGTGTTGTCTGTTACTGTTACGGCGCATCACTCCATACTTCGTTTTATGGTGAATGAACGAGGGGTTGCTGCTTTGGCGATCACTTGCGCTGGTTCCCATGCACCCTTATGCCTGTACCTGATAAAGTCACCAGGGTTCAGCCCAGGTAACTGGTGGGCATTCTGATCATACATCTGCTTCATTTTTCTGTTGTAGCTTGTCTTGCTTTTGGTCGACATCGTGGGCAGCAGGGTTCTAAGTTTCCTGCCCATAAGCAATTCTGCTAGAGATTTTGAATTTGGTTTGGGTGTTGTTCTGTAATTCAGGATGGTGAGATATGCGTCTGCCCCTCTCCTTGACCTTCCTGGGCTGTTTCTTTACAGTCTGAACATTTCTTTCTATAAACCCTTTGGCTCTTGAGAAATTGGGGCTTGTCGTGACCTGCTGAATCTTCCACTGAGTTGTAAAGTCTCTGAAATGGCGTGATGAAAATTGTGGCCCATTGTCGGAGATCAAATTCACAGGAATGGCACGTCATGCAAAGATAATTTTGAGCGGTGTGATTACGTGGCTGCTAATGATTGTGCCTAGCTTGCAGACCTGAACATACTTTGAATGGTATTCGCAAACGATGAGGTAGTCTTTGCCTTCCAAGTGAAACAGGTCTGTGGCAAACTTCGTCCATGGCTGATCTGGGCGTCGTGTGGTAGCAGAGGTTCTTTCTGTTGGGCATTCTTGTTGCGTTGGCAAGTGCTGCTACTGTTTACTGTTTCTTCAATCTGTTTCAGCATCTTGGGCCAAAAGACTGCTGATTTTGCACTGTTTTTGGATAGTTTTATTCCAAGATGTCTTTGATGAATGAGTTTCAACATTTCTTTCTGTAGACATTCTGGAATGATCAACTGATCATCCTTTGAGCTACATTCCATCAAATTCTGTTTTGTCATCACGAACTGTCGTATTTCTTTTGGTACTTTGTGTATCCAGTCTGGCCATTCTTGCATATATGTATTCTGAGTTTCTTCAGTATCTCATCTTGATGTTGCTTCTCCTTGATTTCTTCGAGTATCTGTGATGTTGCTTGTAACGAGTTGACTACAGCGTCCACGAAGGTTTGCCATCTGTTCTTTGAGAAATTCACATTTGTTGGTGTTGAATTTCAGCCCACATTCTCTTGCTCTTTAAAAGACTTCTTTTAAGCGTTTCACGTGCTCTTCAATTCTGCTGCTCCTGGCGCAGAGATCATCTTAGTAGCAGGCTACACCTTTCAGGTCACCGAAGAACGTGTCCATTGTCCTCTGATAGACTTCAGGTGCTGATGAGATTCCGAATGGGTTCTCAGAAACCTCCATCTTCCAAAAGGTGTTGAGAAGATGATTCTTGGCTCTGTAGGATTTGGTATAATCCACTTGAGGCATCCAATTTGGAGTAGTACTTGGCCCCTGTCATCTTTGTCGATATGTCTTCAACCGTTGGGATTTGGTGGCACTCTCTTTTCAAAGCTGTGTTCAGTCTCTGTGGGTCTAGGCGCAATCTGACTTTTCCGTTGGGCTTTTTGACAATTATAATTGGGTTGACCCAGTCAATTGGCTCCTCTTCCTTGGTGATGACATCTAGGTGGTGTTTTTTTCATTTTTCTTAGTTCTGCCTCAACTTTTTCTGTTTGTGAGTCGGTGGATCTTTCTTGCTGCTGTTACTACATGTATAGGCTCAACTTTTGCATCCACTCTCATGGTGTACTCTGTCTGCAGCTTGCCCAATTCTCCAAATGTATCCTTGTAATCTGTGAGAATTTCTTCCAATGACTTTTGTATGATATCATCAAGTCTTTTCACAAGCTTCAATTGTTTACTTGTCTGTAGACCTATTAATATTATTGTTTTTGCTCCATCCGTTGAGGTGACGATGAACTTGATCCTTGTTTTCTTTTTCTTCTGAGTGCACTTGAGTTTTGCTTGTCCCACTACCGGGATGACATCTCCTGAATAAGCTGTGAGTTTGTCTTTGGAGGGCTCAATCTTTGCTCCTAACTTTTCAGCTACTTTCTTGGGCATCACGTTAGCTTGTGTGCCAGTGTCCACTTTGGCAGTGAAGTCTGTTCCATTGACTTTTAAGGTAACTGTCCACTCTATTTGAGATGGTTGTCCTCTCACTGTGCCAATCATGAATTCTTCATCTTGACTGTCATCTTCCTCGAAAATATTCTTTGAACTTTTGAGTATCATGTCGCAACTAGGTCATTAAGTGATGATATTTACCCCATTTGTTTCCTAATCTGTTTGTATGATGAATTGACGCTGATCGGTGTTTACCCTGCCTCCTTTTATCGCACATCGGCAATGCTAATTGTATTGTTTCCTAGATAGCGCCATTGTATTAAATGAGGTCAATCCTCGAAGGCGACGGAATGGCGGGTACAGTAAAAGGCTTTTGCATCCTTCAACCGGCCTCAATTTGCAGACAACAGGCGGACGTAGATAGTATATTATTTTCGGCTTTAGGGGTAATCAGGGTGTTGAATTACAGTAATCGTTGGAGCTGGGGCCAAAACCGGATAATCACAAAAGACTTGAAAATGCGCCTGCGAATTTCAGTTACACTCCTAAATCTATGTGACTG